CACACACACACACACACACACACACACACACACACACACACACACACACACACAAGAAAAAAAATACCCAAGAACAAGTACTAAATAATTCGGCACTATAAAAAGACAAAAAAGAAAAAAATATATATATAAAATTAAGAATATAAAGAATTATATATAATGTCACTTCTCAAATTTGACATCTCAGTTATCCGTTTCTGCAGTGTGCCATATAATTCCAAACGATATGACATGACAGGTAAAGTTGTGTCACGTAATGACCTTAAGACACTGAGGCATAGCAGGTGATGAGATGGATGAGTTGACACGTGGTAGAGGGCCTTGGTGATGGTCTGGCACCCTTGATGTGTCATATGACGGTGTGGCTGCTTGGCCCGGTGCCTGGTTCTCCTTGCCCGAACATTCTGGTGTATCGGCGCCCAGCACGTACCCAGCACGAAGGAGAAACGGGCACGCAGCTCCTGGGCACGTTGCCGGGTGACCAATATTCTCCTGGGCATCGGGTCGGGGGGTCTGTTTTGTGTGTGAGAGAGAGACGACAGTTCTCTCTTCAGCCTTATCTCCTCTCGTTCTGTTCTCGTTTTTCATCAATTTCCCAGTCTCCCCCTATTGCTTTCTCTTTCTCTTTCTCCCCCTCACTCTTATATCTGTGAAACCCACATTCGCTAATGAATGAGCCTCACGCCATCTTCAAGCGACGTGTCTAAAACATGTCCTAAACGCGGTTCGTCAGGCCTGTCACTGCTCTCCTACATCAGTGAACAGTGAACAGGAACTTAATGTAGGTTTTATGTCCTCTGCAGTGCGTTCCCTGCAGAATGTTGCCGCACCATTCCTTACCCTGTGTTGCTGCAAGATTGTGATTAATGAAGCAGTGAAATATGGTGTATGGTGTTTTTGCTGTTGGATAAATAGTGTTTCGTTGTGTTTATGTTGTAAGCTGCGTTATGAAAGAGTAGATGTAGAAGTAAGTTAAAAATTATCATAATTATTATAGTTGTTTTATTATTATTACTATTGTTGTTGTTACTGCTATTATCATAATCATTGATATTATTCTTGTTATTATTATTATTGTTATTGTTATTATTGTTATCATTATTATTATTATTATTATTATTATTATTATTATTATTATTATTATTATTATTATTATTATTATTATTATTATTGTTGTTATTATCATTATTATTATTATCACCATTATTATTATTATCATCGTTATTATTATTATTACTATCATTATTATTAGTATTATTACTATTATTATTACTATTATTACATTTATCATTGCTTATTCTTATTAGTATCACCATCATCACCATTGTGATTATTATCATTTATTATCATCTCCAGCATTTTTATTGCATTGATTTATTTCTGATCTTATACTCGTGTTACTGTTGGTGGAAGCTACACTATGTTGACTTCATAAATGACCATGACAAAGAAGAATTAGATTCGTCGAAAAAAAAAACAAGAATAGATACGATCATACATAAATTACTAAATAGGCAGCTAAGTGAATAAATCAATAGATGAATAGATGAATTACTCGACGAAATGAAAGATAAATCAATGAATCACACACACACACACACACACACACACACACACACACACACACACACACACACACACACACACACACACACACACACACACACACACACACACACAAACTAATCAACAAACATATTAAATGAAAGTAAAACAAATAAAAGTCATCAATACACAACCCATTCTGGAAAAAGAGAGATTCAAGACGACACGCCATGACGCTCAGCTCGTTTTCTTTGAGGTTCGTTTTCTTTACAACTCGTTTTCTTTCAAATTAATTTTCTTTGAGGATCGTTTTCTCTAAGGCTTGTTTCCTTTAAGGCTCGTTTTCTTTACGGCACATTTTCTTTTAGGCTCGTTTTCTTTAATCCTCGTTTTCTTCAAGGCAGGCAAAGCTCTGGGTCTTCCTGTATGAGCAAGATGCACTCTCCCGACCCCAGGCTGACCTTCAACACTTGCAACTGATGTATTTTCAAGCAGACACGAGGCGAAGTGAGATACAGTGTTCGGGGATTAAGAAGGAGGGAGGGAGGTAGGAAGGGTAGGAGAGGGAGGGAGAGGGAGGAGGGGGAAATAAGGCGATGTTTGGGAAGGGTACTAAGCGAATTTATGTGTGTTCTTTCAATATCTTCCCCCACCCCCTCTCTTTGTCCATTTCTCTCTCTCTCTTTCTGACCTCTCTCTCTCTCTCTCTCTTTCTGACCTCTCTCTCTCTCTCCCTCCATCCCCCTCCCCCTCCCCCTCCCTCCCTCTCCCTCTCCCTCCCCCTCCCCCTCTCCCTCTCCCTCTCCCTCTCCCTCCCTCCCTCCCTCCTCTTCCTCTCTTCCTCGCTTCCTCTCTCCCAAATAACTCTAAACCATATATCCTTCTCTCCCTACCCCTCCCCCCACATCCCCCTCCCTCTCCCTCACATCCCCTCTCTCTCCCCCCGACCCCACCC